CAGGACCCTTCGCCTAGCCAGGCGCTGCCAGCTGAGGTTTGGTGTCCCCAGGGGGCAGGGGCCAGAACTGATAGTGATCAGAGGCCCAAAACCAGCCCTGCCTTCCCCTGCCCTCCGGGCTGAGGGGCTGACAGCCCGCACCACCCACTGCCGGGAGCCTCTGGGCTCTCGGCTGCCGCCGTGCTCCCTGTCGCCTGCCCGGTGTGCCAGGTACGGCGGGAGCCTGCTTGGGCGAGGGTGGCATCACCGAGCTCTTCCTCTGCGAGCCGTCTGTGTGCGGTGTGTGCGTATGTGTGCGTGGAGGGCGGGCAGGGGCAGCGGGGACAGAAACAGCCCAGGACGTGGGGGCCGGGGAGGGTTTTCTACCTTTTTGTATCTTTGTAATCAGAGAGAAGAGAAATTTCTACGGTTATTTTTACGGATGGTCTGTTCCCAGGACCTGGAGCATTTGTTTCACCAACAGCCCTTTGCCAGCTTCCCTGGGGATCCCAGTGGACTGGAGAGGTGGTGCCAGGCAGCCCTTAGGGCTTTGCCAGTGCCGCTTTGTCCCATCCGCATTGCGGGACGGCTGGCCCCGCTGCCCCTCACCTTCCCACCGCACAGCTCCACCCGTGTCTCAGTGTGGCCTCCTGCCTGGCGTCCCTCAGCCCCTTGCAGCCAGGTCCCACTCTGTCCTCCTGTGGGACCCTCCTTGGGGTTGCCCCCCGTCCGTGAGCGGGGGCTGCGTGCCAGCAAGAGCACAAGCAAGTGGGGCAGCAAATTCGGCATTAGGGACCCACTGGGGGAGGAAGCAAGCTGTGCTCTGCAGTCCCCTCGTGTACCAGGGATGGTCCCACTCCTATACGCACTGCTTTCTTCTGCTCAGCAAATCAGCACTGTGTTTTTACCCACTGTGTGTTGTGCTCTTTAACCCACATGTTATAGAGCAAACCTCTGTTGGTTTGTGGGTCCAGGCAAGGAGCTGGGTGACTCTGGCAGCAGGCAGGCCTTTCCGAGATTTGGTGCTCGCCCTGCAGAGGATTAGCATCTGCAGGAACGTGGTGTGGCTCCGGTCTCAGGGTCCAGCGTTGCCCACACGTGTTGTATCTCGCTGGTTCCCTGTGGGCTCTGCATACATACACACATGTCCCTGTGCTCTCTGGCTGGAAGAGGTCCCCAGCTCAGAGCGGCCTAGATTTTGGGAGATGGAGATAAACAGCATTTCGCCCTCTCTGGAAATCCAGGCTCCCCTGATGGTTTTTCTGCTCCGCTGGGGGCTTGGCCCTGGGCTCCCTCTGGCCCTGGCTCGAGGCGACACTCCTCTGTGCCTAGCCCAGCCTCAGACCAGGAGCATTCGGCTCGGAGGGCCAGCACCCTCCCTTTTACCTGCCGAGCACGGTGCCTCTGCTCAGCTGCCCCCGTGGTGCTCTCGGGGCTGCGTGACAGCACGCTCCTTACTGCCTTACTACCACACCATAGCATCTTACTGCAGCCCACCCTGACGTGTTTACAGGAGAGGACTTGTGCTGCTCTCCTCCAGGCCCCCTGGGAGGCCGAGGCCTCTTGGCTCTGTCCCCAGCTCTGTGGGGAGAGGTTGGAGGGCACAGAAGGGCTGGGTGCTGGGGGTGCCATGGGCCGGGCAGGGGCTGCCCGCCCCCGGCACAGCCCCGATGAGGCAGGCTCACCGCTGCCCTTCAAGGGATGGGGAGGGAAGGGCCTGCTGATGTGTTTACATGCCATTCGGGACCAGCGTGCAGGGGGAAAGCGAGCCGGCCCCGCATGCTGTCCATCTTCGCCTTCAGAAGCAAGCTCGTTTACATGTTACTCTCCGGCTGTGCAGCACTGGCACCGGAATCCTGGGGCACTGCCCCTGCCGCGCTGTAGGGCCCATGTTTCTGCCAGGTTGGGCACGGTGGCTCTTTGTGCTGGTGCCAAATGGAGAGCAAGTGACAAGTGCCAAAAAGAAGAGAGCAGCGGAGCCAGTGGCTGTCCCCACAGAACTGGGCTGGTTAAAAAGCAGGTGTCAGTCTGTGGCTTGGTCCCTGATTGTAGTGCTGTGGCCTGGGCTCTGGGGAGCATCCTCATTGGGTTTAGGTTTGTCTTGTTGGGGGGGTTTGGTTGTTTTGTTTTTTTTTTTTTTTTCCCCCTCTCTCCATCTCCCGATTCTGTGGGCAGGGAGCAGGGAGATGCCTGTGCCCCCCCGCCCCCGGCTGTGTAAAAGTGTGTCATGAAAGCGCCAGATTTGGAAATAAAAGTCTATAAACTGGTGCTGACCTCTCTGCCGTCTCTCCCTGCGCGTGGGATCCATGGCTGGGGCTGCGGGCACAGCGTGTGGGCTGGAAGCCATCCCCTCAGCGGGGACGATCTGGGCCGTGGGCAAGGAGAGGGAAGTGCGAGGAGGAGAGGCTGAGCGTGATCCTGGTGCCCTCCGTCCCTCCCTTTCTTGCCGTTGGAGGGAAAAGAGCAGGTGAGCAAAGGGCAGTATTGATCCACAGCACCCTGAGCAAGGGTCACCATCAATTGTCATCCCTCGGTCCCTCACAGGCTCCGTCCTTAGCGCTGGCCTGAGCCTGACCCAGCCCAGGGTGACCCCTGAGCACCCGGGGGCTGGACTTGCAGCAGCCTCCTGGGAGTTGTGCTGGCATTACCGGGAGCTGCCGTCCCATCCTGTAGCCCCTTCCCGAGGCTGGCCCTGGGGGTAAGGGTCCAGGGAGAGGTGGCGGGGGGCCGGGGTGGCCGAGGGGGAACCACAAGCAGAGCGGGGGGCCCAGGGTGCGGGTGGGGGGCTGCAGGCTGGAACGCATGAAGCAGCGACGCAGGGTGGGGACAGGGAGCGGCGATAAGGAGGCAGTAAATGGCACCCGGCGCTATCAGTTGCTACCAAGCAGAAGCCCTGTGATGGCCTCTCCTTCCGTGCCAGGTGAGCAGATAAATGATGGGGAGGCAGCAGCCACGTGCGGGCACCTGTGTCGGCATCGGCGTGCCGCTACCCGGCCACAGTGATGGGTGTGAGGGTGGGACAGGGGGGGCCGGGGGTGTGGGAGAGGCGGAGGGGAGCCAGCTCAGCCCCGCTGCTGAAAGGCAGCCGAGGCGTCTGCGTGTGGCTGCTGTGGGACCCGGGTCATGCCGACCACGGGGAGAGACAGGGTGGCCACAGGTTGCCCCCCACCAAGCCGGCAGCAATGGGAATGAGTCATGCTGAGCCCGGAGAGCACGGTCCTGGGTGTCACCACTCGTGCCACTTACCAGCCCCATCCCACCACCCGGGACTCCCCGGCACCTGCCCTGCCCTGGCTTCACCTTGCACCCTGGCACCAGTCAGCCCAGCCCATGGGTGCCTGGATTTCCGCTGCTATGTCCCTGTGGGTCTGGGCCAAACATGACTCAGAAATGTTCCGAAACCAATGGCGTTATCAGGTCGTGGTGAAGCCCAGGAAGGTGTGATGGGTTCAGCGGGACTCTGATGCCCGCTGGGGACCTTTGGAACAAGATAACAGCCGGGTCTGCGCGTGCTGTGGGAGAGCGGGGCAGTCCACAGGGCACAGCACACCCGTTTCCAGCAGGTAAGCAAGGGCCGGAGCATGTGGAAAATACCCTGGATGCCATGGCTGGAGGCAGCAGGTAGCCCTCCTTGTCCCAGGCACAGCTCCGGCTCCAGGACATGGGGTGGGAGGGGATGCCCATGGGAGCCCTGTGGGCACAGGAGGGGGATGGCAGGACCCCGAGCAGTGCCCCGGGAAGGTGAGGACCCAGCAGCTCTTGGCACACCAGAATGTGCCCAGCATAAAGACCCCTGCCCTATGCTCAGCATGGGTTCTGGGGCACCGTGGCACCCCAGGCATGGTTGTGGGCCAGGAGCTGAGACTGGCCAGGGTAGTCCCCAGGATGGGATGGCGCTGGGGACAGTGATGACAGCTCTGGGCCTGCCACAGCCAGGGAACCCAGCACAACAGGGCACTGGGGGAGCGTGGTGTGTGCTGTGGAGCAGCAGGAATGGGAAGGGGGCAGCTCCTCGGCAAGGCAGGAGGGAGGGCAGGAGGCAGGGAGCGGTGTCTCAAAGATCACGGGCTGGTATTAATAAATAGGAGGGAGCAGAGCGTGCGCTTGCCTGGTGATACCTGACCAACTTGGGCACAGCAGGTAGGAGGGCTGGGGGCAACGCGGGGACTTGGCACAGTGGCTGCAAGTGGCTCGTGGGTCTGGTTCCAAGTGGGTGAGCGTCTTGGGACTGGCCACGGCCACCGGCCGGGTGATCCCGGCAGGATGGTGGCAGCTCAGCTCAAACTCCGAGCAAGGCCAGGCTGTGGATCTGTACGGAGACGCCTCAGTCCCACCGTCCCAGCCCCATGAAGGGAGAGACCCAAGCCCAGCCCTGCTTCTCCGTGCCCACAGAGCTCACCCCGGCTCTGCAGCGCAGAGGGCTGGTGAGGGTGCCAGTGGAGAGATGGCGAGCCTGCGACACTCGCCGGGCGTTGACATTCCTGCTCCCCTCATGTGTAAAGGGACAAAGTCTGCAGACGGGGTTGTGGGGTGGCTGGGGCTTTGCTCGGTGGCTGTGCTGGCCCGCTGCCCTGGCTGCGCTGCGGTACGTGGGGAAGGGAGGTTGGCACCAAGGTAGGTCCTGCGTGGGCAAGCGGAGGGGAAGGCCTCCAATGGCAGCTCTGCTGGCAGCCCCCACCCGTGCACCCCAGTGGGGCGGATGGGGCTGGTGTGGGGCAGGAGTGGGCAGCACTGATTGCCAAGGCCTTAGCCTCCCTTCCTGCCCACACCCTGGCTGCCTGCTGCTTTCTGTCGCGAGCTGCTGCCACTGCTTCAGGATTCCCAAAACTCGGCTCACCCCTGGCCTCGGGGCCAATCCTGCACGCCTGGCCGGGATGGGATGGCTCCATGGGGCAAGCAGGGCTGCAGGAGGGGTTGTGGCATGGGTAGTGTGCCGGGTGTCCCCAGCCTCAGGGACGTGTCTGTCTGAGCTGCCCCTCATCTCCCCGCAGTGGGCTGGCACGTGGGAGGGCTGGGCAGCCATGGTGGCGGAGACGGCGCTGAGCCACCGGGTGCCCCGTGAGGTGCTGAGCGAGGCCGACCTGGAGGAGGTGGCGCAGCGGAAACCTCCCGCCGAGCCCTCGCTGCGCGGTTGTCTCCGCAAGACCAGGTAGGACCCCTCTGGGCACCGTGCCCCCCAGCCCCACTGCCACGGGGAGCCCGGCTCTGGCTGTCCCAGCCCCTGGGGCAGACACAGTGCAGGCTCGAGGGTTGGTTCCCTCCAGTCCAAACACCCGTGTCCCCACGCTGTCCTCCTGCCTGGAGGGACACCTGGCTCCAGTGGCTGGAGCTGGGGGTCCCACAGGACCCATTGCTTCCCATGGGGCCCTGTCCTCCCCCCCACTGATGTCGCCAAGCCCCTGAGCTCGTGCTTAGCCCTGGCTCCTGCTTCTTTCCTGCTAGATGCTCGGCCTCCACCGCCAAGTCCCTGCTCTTCAGGTTCCTGCCCTTCCTGCACTGGCTGCCCCGCTACCCAGTCAAGGACTGGCTGCTGGGGGACATTGCCTCGGGCTTCAGCGTGGGCATCATGCACCTGCCCCAGGGTGAGTGATGGCTGGGTTGCTGGGGGCTCCCTGCAACTGAGGGGCCCAGGACTCAGCCATCTGTGACACGTCTCCCTGCTCTACCATGTCCAGGGCTTGCCTACGCACTGCTGGCCGGGCTGCCGCCCGTCACCGGTCTCTATTCCTCCTTTTACCCCGTCTTCCTCTACTTCTTCTTCGGGACATCCAGGCACAACTCCGTGGGTGAGCTGAGGGGCCAGGTGCTCCCATGGGGATGGCGGGGAGAGAGTGAGGATGAGAGGGGCAAACCTTCATCTACGGCACAGCATTGCCACATCAATGGGCGTGGGGGGATCTTCCTTGCCTTTAATTTGCCCCACCAAGAAGGTGCTTGGCCAAACCAGAGCCAAAGCACTGTGGGTGCACTCTGAGGCCGACCCGAGGGGACAGGTGACCTCAGAGAGGTCCTGGTGCTGACCTTGGGCTCCCTGCCCACACCCTGCCTGTCCCCAGGTCCCTTCGCCGTCATCTCCGTCATGATCGGGAGTCTGACAGACTCTCTGCTGCCCAGCGAGAACTTTCTGGAGTCTGTCAACGGCAGCAACGCAACCGTCAATGAGGCACAGCGGGACGCTGCCAGGGTGGAACTGGTGGCCACCATCACTGTCCTGACAGGCATCTTCCAGGTAAGGGGGCTCCAGCCTAGCCTGGCAGGGGAACAGAGAGCCACAAGCTGTGTCCCAGGGCCACAAGCTGTGGGTCACTTCTGCTGCCTCTCCTTCCAGGTGGCCCTGGGCCTCCTGCAGTTCGGCTTTGTGGTGACCTACCTCTCGGACCCGCTGGTACGCGGCTACACCACCGCTGCCTCTGTGCATGTTCTCGTCTCTCAGCTCAAGAACGTCTTTGGAGTCTCCTTGGGCGAGCACTCAGGGCCACTCTCACTGTTCGTGGTGAGTGGGGGCTCGCTGCTGCCCAGCATCCCCCTGGGCGCTCACCTGTGGGACACAAAGAGGCCCTCAAAAACCTGCCAGGCAGGCATCTGCTTTCCTGAGCCCGTTCCATCCTCCTGTGTCCTCTAGACCTTCATCGAGATCTGCCAGAAGCTGCCACAGACCAACGTGGGCACCCTAGTGACAGCCATCATTGCCATGGTGGCCATCTACATTGTGAAAGAGCTCAACCACAAGTTCGCTGCCAAGCTGCCCATGCCCATCCCCATCGAACTTATCACGGTACCCAGAGCTGCCCCAGCTCCCTGTGGGGATGCAGTCACAGGTGGTCCTGTCCCCTCCAGGGTGGGGAGGGGTGGGACGGGGTGCCTTGTTGAGTGCAACTCCAGGGCACGCGTCCCCTCCTCCTCCACCACGGTCCCTGTGCAGGAAGTCCCTGCCTCACTCCAGACATCCTCCCCCAGATCATCATCTCCACTGGCATCTCCTACGGCGTCAACCTGAACGCCAAATTTGGCATCTCCGTGGTGGGCAACATCCCCAGCGGGTGAGCAGGGCCGGGCGGTCAGGGTGGCTGTGCCAGGGCACCACATCACCCACGGGACCCCCCTTTTGAGCCCCATCTCCCTGTCTTGGCTGTAGGTTGAAGCCGCCTGTGGCCCCTAACATCAGCTACTTTGGGCAGGTGGTGGGCAACGCCTTCGCCATCGCTGTGGTGGGCTACGCCATCTGCATCTCCCTGGGCAAGATCTTTGCCCTGAAGCACGGTTACAAAGTGGACAGCAACCAGGTGATGCTCCGACACGCAGGGCCCCTTCCCTGGGCGAAAACCCAGCCTGTTCTTCCTGCAGCAGGGGGAAGGCATGGTGTGCCCCCACCGCCGCTCTGTCCCTGCAGGAGCTGATCGCACTGGGCCTCTGCAACTTCCTGGGGGGCTTCTTCCAGTGTTTCGCCATCAGCTGCTCCATGTCGCGGAGCCTGGTGCAGGAGAGCACAGGAGGCAACAGCCAGGTGGGCCTGGGCAGCGCTGCCTCCCTCCGTGGGGCTGGACAGCGGGCAAGGAGCACAGCGAGCGGTGTGGGGCTCACCTCTTGCCTCCCACTCTCCTTCCTCTCAGGTAGCCGGTGTCATCTCATCCCTGGTCATCCTGGTGACCATCCTGAAGATCGGAGAGCTCTTCCGGGACCTGCCCAAGGTACATCTGGTCCCACAGCCTCCGTGCAGCATTCCACCCCTGTGCCTGTCCCATGGCAAGGTGGTGTGGCAAGGGAACAGCCAAGGGTCCCCCCTCCCCACAGACCTGCCCTCGGCATCATCATAGCTGCAGGGACTTCTCTCCTAGGCCATCTTGGCTGCCATCATCATCATCAACCTCAAGGGCATGTTCAAGCAGTTCGATGACCTCCGCATGCTCTGGAAGTCCAACCGAGTGGACCTGGTAAGGCACTGATCAACCCCAGCGCTTTGCTCTTGTCGCTGGGGAGGGTTTCTCCCCCCTCCCTGAGGCTTGCAGGTGCTGGTGGGGAGGTCATGCCGCGGCTGACCGCATCCCCCCTACAGATGGTCTGGATTGTGACATTTGTGGCCACTCTCCTGCTGAACTTGGACATCGGCCTGGCAGCCTCGGTGGCCTTTGGGCTGCTCACCGTCATCTTCCGCACCCAGCTGTGAGTACCCCGGGGGCTGGGGCCAGTGCCACATCCCGAGGGTGGAGGAAGCTCGTGATGACCTCAGCCCCTTGCTCTGTTCCCCACAGACCCCACTACTCCATCCTGGGGCGCATCTCCGACACCGATGTCTACAGGGACGTGGCTGAATACCAGATGGTAACAGCACCAGGGGGAGGGAGAAGAGCTACCTGCAATGGGGGGGGGGGGAAGTTCAAAGCACCCCCAGGGGCTGTTCACTGGGGAAAGGAGAAGGGGGCATTTGGGGCGAGGGAGAGAAGGGGAGCAGGGGGCCCCATCCCTGGGGTAGCACCCCTCCCGTCTGCCCCCAGGCACTGGAGGTCCCTGGTGTGAAGATTTTCCGTTCCTCCTCCACCCTCTATTTTGCCAATGTGGAGCTGTACGCCGAGGCCCTGAAGAAGAAGGTAGGAGAGCCACCAACCCCCCCCCGGTTCTCCCCGTGGTGCCCCCCCTGCCTGCCAGCACTGGGGTGGCCGTGGGGCATCTGGGGACACGGGGCTGCATTGTTTTGCAGAGTGGCATCAATGTGGACCGCTTGATTGAGAAGAAGAAGAAGGCCCTCAAGAAGTTGAAAAAACAGCAGAAGAAAGCAGAGAAGGAGAAGGCAAAGAGGAAAAAGGTGCTTCCCTGTCACGGGGGATCTCCCCTCCTGGTGTCACCCTGCACACCCCCCCGCTTGGCCCCAGCCCTCCTGCCTGTGCATTCACTGGGCCCTTGGGATTCCCAGTTCAGTCTGGGGACACTGGGTGAGAAGGGGCACGGGGGCAGAGCTGGACCACAGCATCACACCCAAGGTTGTGGGGAAAGCCGAGCTGTTAATGATTAGGTGGTGCAGTCAGTGAGTCATTAGCCATTTGGTGAGTTAATCAGAATTAAGAGCAAGAGCAAAGGCTGACCTGGTGCCAGCTAATGAGCCTGGCTCTGGAGAGGGTTACTGGGGAGAGAGGTGGGTCTCAATGCATCTAGAAGGACCCCAAAAGCGAGTGAAGGAGTTAGGCACCCACCCCCCGGGGCCACCCACTGCCCATGCCTGAATGCAGCCAAAGAGCCCTGCCAAGCCCCACTGCGCTATAGGGCAGGGTGAGCCAGGGGTGGGAACACTGCCCAGCCAGGGGTGCTGCCAGCCCCCGCGCAGTGCGGCCAGCTCTCCTTCCCTCCCCCAGGAGATGGAGGATGGGCACAATGGTCCAGGCGTGGCGGTGATCGAGCTGAGCGGGACGGAAGGCAGCGCACCCCCGGAGCCCACCCTGCGCACCCTGGGGCTGCCCCAGCCTGGCTTCCACGCCATCATCTTGGACTTCAGCCCCGTCAGCTTCGTGGACACCGTCTCCATCAAGATTCTGAAGAATGTAAGGGGCCGGGGGAGCAGGCGGGCTGGCAGCCTCGCCAAGGGCATCCCTGGGGCCTTGCGGCATGGCCCCATGGCTGCTGCCTGTCCGTCTTCCCAGGCGAAACATTTTTCTGCCGTTTGCAGATCTTCAGGGATTTCCATGACATAGAAGTGGACGTCTTCATTGCCGGCTGCCCAGGTGAGGAGGCTCTGCAGAACCATCAGCCCCTGCCCAGCCCTTCGGGACACAGCCACTGGCCTGCAGCTCCCTCCACGCCGTCCCCAGCCCCAGGGTTTTCCCCGGGGAGAGGTGCTGCTCTGGCAGGCGGGGGGTGAGCTCAGCCGGGTGCCATGGCTTTGGATGTTTCTCCCTCCACACAGTGCCTGTCCTCGCACAGCTGGAACGGGGCAACTTCTTCAGCTCGGCCATCACCAAGCACTGCTTCTTCCCGTCGGTGCATGATGCCGTGGTCCACATCAGCGGGGAGCGATGCCGGGCTGCGGTAAGCACCCAGCCTCGCTGTCCCCAGCACTGCAACGGAGCGGGGGGGGGGGGGGTGGGGGGCAGCCAAGCCAACCCCTCCCCATGTCCCCCTTAGGTGGACCTCAGCACCAGGATGTAGCCCTGAAAGAGGAAGACGTCTCCCCGAGGAGCTGGGCAGGCGAAGAGGGATTTGTCACCCCGATGGCACCAACTCACCCACCCCGGGGGCCCCGCACACCCACCAGCCTCTCTGAACTCGCAGCTGGGGCCCTGCCCCGGCCGTGGGCTCCCTCTGCCACGGAGCTGCCGTGGGATGTCACACCAAGGCACCCACTGGGTGCCCCCCACCCAGCCCCAGCACAGGCCAGTCCCGCCAGGCTGGGCTCTGGTTTGGGGGGTAGGGGGGCAGCAGGGGGGCCCCCAAACACAGCTAAAAGGGGGCGGGCCCGGTCTCGGCAGCGGGTTGGCGTCGCGGATAAAACCATGTAGTGCTGCTCAGGCTTCGTTTTAACGCACATTCCTCAATAAAGGTGACCTGTGGCGGGGCTGCCCGACTGCACCCTGACACTGGTGGGCACTGCCTGTCGCTCCCTGCGTGCGGGCAAAGTGGCCCAGCCACCCCCGCTTCTCTCTGGCCCTTTTCTGCCACTTTTTCCCCCGATCGGCCCCGGGCCCGCCGGGTTTCGGCGCACGGAGTGGTACCGACCCCGCTCCACCCCCCCACCCGGGACCCCGCTCTCCCGGGCAGCCCCCCGGACCCCCCCGGCTGCCGCGCCCTCCCGCCACCAGGGGGCGCCGCCGCACGCCCGCACCACTTTGCGCATGCGCCCTCTCCACCCGCACGGACATTTCTCCCCCTCCCCGTGCGCATGCGCATCGTAGACGCGCTGGCAAACCCCATGTCGCCGCGCTCGGCCTTGTGCGCATGCGCCGCCCCGCCCACGCCGCGCCTCCTGCCCGCGCAGGCGCGCTGCGGGCGGCTCGGCCTGGCGGCGGCAGGGACAAGATGGCGGCTTCCTCTGTGTGCCGGGCCGGGCGGGCTCTGTTGTGGGGTTCTCGCCCCTCCGTGAGTCATGGCGGGCGGCGCGGGGGGTGGGCCGGGGAGAGGCCGGCAAGGGGAGCGGGAGGCCCCGCGGCGCGGTGGGGCCGCCAGGCCGGGCCGGGCCTGCCGGGAAGGTCACCGGGACGCGGCGGCCGGGGCGGGGAGGGCGGGTCGCCATGGAAACCCGCTGTCTCCGGTAGCGGGGCCGACCTGCCGCTGCGGAGGGTTCCCAGCCCTCCAGTTAACAAACGGAGTGTAGCAGGAAGTCCCCGGTATAAACGTGAAAGAGCGTGTCTGGCTAGCTTTGGTCAGTTGTGTGCCCAGCAGTCTGCGTTCCGGAGGTCTGCCCTGCAGAGGGGAGGTGCTGGTTCGTGGTGGTGATACCTTTTACATTTTTTAGGCAGCTTTGCTGACGTTGACAAGGAGCCGAGGGGCCGCTACCTATGCACAGACACTCCATAATATCCCTGAGACCCAAGTCACCACTCTAGATAATGGACTCCGTGTAGCTTCAGAGGAGTCCAATCAGCCAACGTGTACGGTAAGTTTAAGGTAGATTAAGGGCTTACGTGAAACAGCCTCACCTAGTCTGTAGCTGGTCTTCCAAAAGTAACAAACCCTTTTGAACCAATGCTTTTGACAGAGAACCTACTAGTGGTCTTTGTTAACTGGTGGGATTAGTGGAGCAGTAGAAGTCTTTGCCTGGCTTTCTATAAGTCTGTAGTCAAGTTTTCACACTCTACAAGTTTTCTTAGCCTTACAGTTTTTGTGTAAGCAGTAAGTGACCAGTAGTAGTTACATCTCTGGTAAAACTAGCAAAGGCTTTTGTGAAGCTGCTGGATAAAAAGTCAAAATGTATACAGAAGAGAGTATTTTGGTGCTACTAGTTCAATGTCTGTGAAGCAGCCTTCTTGTCCCTGCTGTTATAATGTGAGGCTTGAGCATGCTGTTTGTTTTCTATATGCCTACTTGATGCTTCTGCCGTTAGGTGGGTGTGTGGATCGGGGTGGGGAGCCGCCATGAAAACGAGAAGAACAATGGAGCCGGTTACTTCCTGGAACATCTGGCCTTTAAGGTAAGGAGGTATGCTTAGGTCTGGCACTGGACTGTGTGGAGAGCTGTTCTAAATATTCGCTTGGATATTATGCTTTTGCTTCAGAGTCTGTAGCTGTTAGAGCGTAAATCAGGTCATCTGAGTCCCAGAGACTTTGCACATGGTGTGAAAATAAACTTCAAAAGGTACCCAGCCTATATGGTGTACTTTGTTTGAATATGCAGCAACTTGCAAGGATGATGAATGAAGGCAACACTTACGAGTTGGTATTTCCTCTCAAAGGGAAAAAACTTGTAAGTAACAAGTAAGACCGAGTCTCTGATGCTGTGGTTCCAATCTCTGACTATCCCAGCCACTGTGTAGCACGCATACAGGACTATGTTATGAAGCATGTTTCTCAAAGCAGCATTTCCTGTAACCGTTTATTTTTCTTTGGTTTTCTTAGTGCACCAGGAAAGTTTAGAGGCTACAGCTCTTACTTTTCTAATAATATAAGTGTCTGCTGAACAGCCATAGGGCAGAAGGCGTTTAAGCCTGGGACTTGCTGACCCAAGTCCAGCCTGTGCTGTCATAGGCAACTGCAGCATCTGGTTTTCTCCTTAAGAGATGAGCTCTGTATTAGAAGTAGTTTTCTGCTGCTCTTCTGGCTTCTTCTGAAAATTGCTGCTTGGATAGCTAGAAACCTGCTTATTTTTGGTTTAGACTTGTTCTTGGTTTACTTCCAAAGATGTGATCTTCAGACACTGTTGTCTCTTAGCACAGGTCTGTCTCCTTCCCTGCTGGGTTTTTGTTGGTCTTTCAAAACAGACCTCAGCCATCCTTTAGTTAAGAGGAAACAAGCCAAGTTTTAAATCTCTTGCTTTCTGCGCTTGCTCTTGGCTTTTATGAATCATGTGACAAGTTTTTTTGCTTTAGGTCTTTATTGTTTTTTTCTGTGCTTTGGTTCTGCCTGAGAGGGAAATCTGTTCATTTCATAGTTGTGTTTATCTGTTTTCTTTTAGGGCACAAAGAATCGTCCTTGTGCTGCCTTTGAGAAGGAGGTGGAGAGTATGGGTGCTCACCTGAATGGGTACACCTCGCGTGAGCAGACTGCCTATTACATAAAAGCCTTGTCCAAGGACATGCCTAAAGGTAGAGTGGCCAGTAGACAAAGTCTGATTTGGAGGCTAAGCAAGTGCATGCATGTGTTTGTGTTTCTCTCCCACCAGCATCCTTGCAACAACAGACCAGGGAATGAAGTTGTAGCTGGGTGGCAAATTGGAGGTTATAGTTGGTAGTTGAAGAGAGCACTGCCATGATGTGGTGCTTCAAGGCTGCAAGTTCATGTGCTCCTAAAAAGAGTTTTGCAAAGCTCTTGTTATGTCAGGCTTCACTATATTGCCAGGAGGGAGCGGGGTTGGTTCAGTAGTCTGTGATTGTTTCATGGAGCTGAGAAACTGGGGTCAGTGACAGCTACTGTATCAGGAGTCCTCAGTGCAGCTCTTGTGGGTGTTGCTTGTGCTCTGTGCTGCCATGTGCAGTCTCCTCTTTGCCCAGAGGCAGTCATTTGAGCCAGAGCTGTGGGCCCTACTGTACATGTGGGCTATGCTGTAGATATTGCAAACTCTCTGTAAGGATTCAGCATTTCTGCAGCGGGACCCTGCTTCTGACATGCTTCACCCTCTGTGGTTGTTGCCTGCTTTCTGCTGGCAGTGATGCTTGGTAAGCTGACTTGGAGATTTCGTGCTAAAACAGTGTTGTTTGTCCCTTCCTGATGCTCTGGGGATGGGCAGTACTCATCTCTATTATGTTGCATCCTCTCCCCAGCATGGTTTGTTGATCAGTGCTCTTGAAGTGCCCCTGCTTCCTCTGCGTTTTCTCCTTTCAGCAGCACTGGGTCAGGCAGCAGGATTGCTAACATAGGAAATGTGTTGCAGTTGTAGAGCTTCTGGCTGACATTGTGCAGAACGTTGCACTGGAGGAGTCTCAGATCGAGAAGGAACGTGGTGTCATCCTTCAGGAGTTGAAAGAAATCGATAGCAACTTGACAGATGTTACCTTTGATTACCTCCATGCCACTGCTTTCCAGGGGACTGCGCTGGCCCGCACTGTGGAGGGGACCACAGAGAACATCAAGTGAGCAACAGGCTGGATGTGGTACACAGCCCATGGGTTCAGTCCTTGGAGTGCATGACTGCCACTTAGCAGTGGTGACTGGATGAGGAAACCAGTCTGTACACAGAGGTGATCTGTGCCCATGGGCTTCTTATGTCTTGACTGTGTTTTCCCCATTGATACTGGTGAAAGCGTAATGCTGCACACATTCTTTAGAATCCTCTTCATGCAAGGAGTGAGGTTGGTAGGTTGAACCTTCTCCCATACTTGTCAGTTTGACACCATTAGTGAAATTAAGAGCTAGGGGTGCTCATTAAAGCAGTGGCCCTGTGCATACACACCTGTTAGGGTACTGGTAGCCCAGTACTCTAGTCTGTATTGAAGTCTATATTTAACTTGCCATCTTGGCCACCGTTTTCCATTCTCTGTGTTTTGGAATTAGAGCACAGGGAAAACACAAACAGTGCAGTCTTGCTTCTAAAAAGATTGTTACACCCCAATTAAGAGAACAACATCACCGCTATCTCTGCACTGTAAAGTTGCTTCCCCTAAGCCTCTCATCCCTCCAGTTCAGAGATGCTGATAGGCCGTGTCCCTCTGTGTTCTTTCTAGGCATCTGACCCGAGCAGATCTAGCTTCATATGTTGATACTCACTTCAAGGCACCTCGGATGGTCCTGGCAGCTGCTGGAGGTAAGATCCTTGTGATTCTGGGAAGCCTGGGTATTTTCAAGCTGGTGATCAAACCCTTGTCACACATGTCTAATGTAAAATCAGATTATTTTGTTAAATTAAGCTGTTTAAGACTGCAAATCTCTCTCTTTCCGATTGCCAGGTATTTCCCACAAAGAGCTGGTAGATGCAGCTAGGCAACACTTCAAGGGAGTGCCTTTTACATACAAAGAGGATGCTGTGCCTCTCCTCTCACGCTGTCGCTTCACAGGAAGTGAGGTAAAGTTGTTTTGGTCCCAAACAAAACAAGCAGCTGTTGCCAAACTGTTGAATGAATGTGAAACCAGTTACAGCTGCTTCTGAGAGGAAAAATCTGTTTGTATATCACAGAGAAGCTGATGATGCAGCATCTTGGTAGTGC